GATGGTGCGACACAAATGAAGGAGGAAGCGACATACGGTCATCTTTTTATTGACCACTCCAGAAATATCATAACATATCATAATGCTCTTTGTTTGTCACTCCAAAATTTTACATAAGCATTGTCTTCAGTTTCTCTTGGGAGTTAAAATGGCCCCAAGAGAAACTGAAAACAATGCTTATGCAAAATTTGGGGTGACAAACAAAGAGTATTATGGTATATTATGGTATTTTCTGGAGTGGTCAATTGCAACATTCTCTATCCTCAAGGGAGATAAGGCCGGGGTCGAAGGTGTGTTCAGCCCATATGATTGATTGACAATATCTCTCACTAGGAGATTTAGAACAAAAAGAAATTTTTTCCGAAATTAAATCTTAAGGTCTTTTTGTGCCTGAACGTTTAATCATGGTAACATGTCACCAAAAATTGGCGAATTGGTGGCGAATTTACTTTGTTTGGATAAATAATTTGGTATTTCTGATAGAAAACATACCAAACTTTCTACGTTTTGAATGAATTTACTCGAAGTTTAAAATTAAAGTTTTAAATAATTCAAGATTTAATTTGGGCATATAAAATTATCTTTTCCCTCATAATTTTTAATTTGAAGTGCAATGGACGGTCATTCCAAACGTAAAGTGGTCACGCGACGTATCACTTGACTTATTAACACAATATTTATAATTTAAAATGTTAAGGACCATGATTTCTTTATATGTTGCAAATTTTGATTCAGCTTCATAATCTGCGTCGAAGTCATAGCCAATAAATCATTTTCCACAGAGAAACCCTAGACTTGCTACATCGAATTTCTGCCCTTATAGACATTTTCTTTGGAAATGCTTTGCGCTACGTATACTTTGGGTGATTGTCTTCTATTGGGCGAGGTGTCTTTGAATTTCTACAAAGAGGGTATAAATTATGCATGAACGAAAGGCAGGAGTGGACGATCAATTACTAATAAAGCGGCACACAGGTCAATACCGTGGGAGAACTGTTTTGTGGTTCCCAACCAACAGCGACCACTTGTCTACGGTGTAGCTGGCGAATAAAGCAGTGCTTTTGTACTCTTCTCAGATGGTCGCAAGGGAGACCTCTCGTCTCGAAGTCTCGAGACCTCTCGCCATGCTGATGAGTCCTAGTTAGAACGAAACAGCTATCCATTTCTACCACTACCGGGGGTGATATGGTCGTGCGCATGCGTAAGGTACTGGCTGTACCAAGGGGTTCGTACGTGTGCTTCAGTGCTCAAACTGGTATTGTTGACAAACAATTATGCTTGAGGTAAGACCGGGTACCTCGGCCGGGGCCTTCGTTGTTTTCGAGGGATTTGCAGTAGATAGCCTTCTAGATAAAGCTGATCCCGCTTTGTTCTACTACCTGGGGGAAAGGAACTGATTACAACCGCCCCTGGTTAGCTCAATTGCATAAACGCCGGTATGGGTAGCGGATGGCGCGAGTTTGAACCCCCGGTCGGAACAACACTCAGTGTCTTTTATGAGATAGCACTTTCTCCTAAGGCAATTGAGTTGACACAAAAGCCATAATGAGATGCCCTTGGTTTACAAACGTAATGAAATTTCTTACCAGGACAATAAGCCCGTAGGTACCGTCTCAGAACACTTGCAAGCTCATGTGAAATTCCGTAAGATGTTAGAATTTAAACACTACCCGTAAATAGTAGAGGACGTGGTCCTCTCGCAGGCCTCGCTGGATTAACTTGAAAGGCTTCTGAGCGAATAAGACTACAACACGGCACATATGGAAAGAAGAAATTTTTTGGCAGGGAACTGGACCTCATTCACCTTGAAATCCAGGGATGAACCTCCTAAAGGTACATCTCTGCGATGATCTTTAAAAGAACCTTTTTCTACCAACTGGAAATTTATCTTGCTCTTTTGCTTAACACAGCTCGTAAAAGCACACTCCCCTTACAAACCTCTTACTCCGAGCCTCTCCCTTTAGCCCATTATAGGAAGTACTTCCTACCAACCCCTAAGGCAAAAATGGACACATAATACTCAAAAAGGTGTTTTAGCGGAGCTCCACGCGCGCGCGAAGCGCGCGCGTGGGCGGAGCCCTATTGCTAAGTAAATCTACCCATCCCAGAAAATTTGGTAATCACGTGACCGTACACCGACCGACCGCCCGCCGTCTGTCCGCACCACAGGAAAACCAATGTTTACTCTCACACTTTTAGCTAGTTTGGGAGCCCTAAGAGAAAACTAATTGCACAGGCTGCACATCAATGTTGTGATCAATTGACAGCTATCAAACCAGGGCATCCGCTGACAAGTATGACCTGACCGTACCGCGGGCTCAAAAGTCGACCCATCGAGGTCGAGTATGTTTTTAAAGTTATCCGCTGACAAATTACCAGTTTCAAATGATCGCAGGCTCAAGTTTATTTTTTCCAAGGATTCATATCAAATATGTTGTGTTTATGTCACTATGGCCCCGCACTATTAGGATTTTGATTTCAAACTGACCTCGGAAGCGAAAATTCATCCAGTTTTTTTAAAAGTACAGGCGGGGAAGACCTTATCTTACCATGATCACGCGTAGGGTCACGCTCTACGTCCAATTTTTATACTCTGATTGGTCAAAATTTGACAGGTGAGTTTATGCGGAAAAATTATGCAGCATCTTGAAAGTAGTTTACTTTGACAGCTGAAGCTGACAGAGTTTTGTGTCAACTTGTGATGTTTTTAACTGTCTTTTTCCTCTGGAGGTACAAAATGAAATACAGCTGCTATCAAGAGTCTTCTGTTATTCATGGCTGGTTTGTTTACTGGGTTTTGGTTGAGAAATGCGTCGCTTGTTAAAATTCGGTAATTCTATTTCGGATGGCATCGTTTTCGTTTTTCACCTTGCTTAATGCGTAAGAGGGTTTAAAAGTCTCAAGCAACTGTGACCTCCCTTGATAGCTTTCAGGAACTGAATCTCGAATGGTAAGCCTAAGCAATTATTGTATTTGATGTTTGTGTTTCATGAAGTCTTGCACAGTTCACGCTGACAGTTTATGCGGCAAGTTTATGCACGTTTGCAGGATTTGAGTCAATGATCTGACCTAGTATCAGGTTTGATATAAGCTTACAGAACTTTAAAAAGCCTTCAGATATATTTGCTCACCACAAATAGAAAGAAAACGTTCCGAAGGATATTTAGTTATAAATTTGGCTGTAGAAAGAAAACTTTGAGCGATTTTCTTGCTTCGAGGAGTTCACCTTCGAAAACAGTAAACACCGCGCTGGGAAGCCGGCTAAAACATAAACTTAAGCTTTACGCTTAAAGACTCAGGATTTTTAGAGACACTTTAATGCTTGTCTTCGTGAATGAAAATTGTTGTCTCTGTAAATGTTTCACGGAATTATATCTCTTTTTTGATTGTTAGTAGTCTCTCTTGCAATTTTAATCGCTTGTCCGTGCCGTTTGTTTTCATCGTTCATGACCATTGCTTGCAGGAGTACTCAAAAATGTCGGCGTATCAAACGCTTTATAAGATTACACATCGTTATAACTGAAACCATTAAATAACAAAACAAATAATAAGAAATTCGCTATTATGTTGAAGCGTAACTCCGTTAAAGTTCATTCAAACACTCGACCACACTGACAGCTCGCACTATAGAAACGAGAACCAGCTGGCCGTATGGGTGATTTTGGAAATTTTCTGAAATTTTTGAACGGTTTGGCTCGTCCTGAATATTGACTGAGTGCAATTTGTCTTGAAAAATTGTGAAATACCGCATTCTGTCCGAGCTCTGTATGATAAATAGTACTGTTTCACCTCAAATGTGGTGTATAAAAATTATAAAAGGTTGGTTTAAACACCCCCAGATTTGTTGGCAAGAATTTGTAAAGTAAACCTGTCGAACGCAAAAAAAAGTTGGCGTGATTTGTTTTCCAAGAATTTGTTTTCGAGGCCTAATCTACTGTGATCTTGAATGTGATCGAAGATGTTTGCTATTTTTTGGGTGTACATATAAGGTTATCAATTCGATGTAAGATGTTTCACTCTAAAACAACTTAGCCTTTCCCTCAAAAGTCACATGAATGTGCCCTTAAGTTAAATGATTTGTGGATTAAAAGTTTATTGTTTGATTTAAATTATAAATTTATTAAAATTGGAGCTTCGCTTTTAGCCCTGGCTAAATCTATATATTATTAATGTAATAAAGCTTACACTAAAAGTGAGGGTATAAGATGTTTTCATTGTAGCTGCAAATGCCGAATAAAAGGGTAGTTCAGTTATCTAACGAGCTGTATTTCTACAAATAGACAAGAACTACTAAGTACAATTAAGAGTTAAGGAATGTTTCAAAATAAAGTTGAGCCATTAATGTCTGAACTTATACTCACTAAAATACACCCGCAAACGAGGACTAAGTGGTTTTACCAACCTCCCAGCAGAAATTTGCAATTTTAATCATCAAAAATACAAGAAGCTATTTTGCCAGACCTCAAAAAAGTAGGTTCTTATTTGCGGGTATTTACTGTATCTTACTTCACTAAGCAACCATTATTATAGTAAAATACAATAGACAATTACTGGGTTTAGGGATTATATCGGCAATACATGCCTTATTTCAAATCCGAGTTTTAAAAACGCTGGGAAGACTAAGCAATTACTGCTACTATTTTATCTTAAACGTTAATTTTTGATTCGCTATTGCCTGAACATTTTGGGATCTCTACATCTTGAATTTAATCTGTATTTAAACGTCGTTTATGTAATTTATTCGTGTGACCAGTGGTCGCCCAAAGCTAGCCATGGATAACCAGAATGATAACTGAAACAATTGTAACAAAAATTTCAACAAAATTCACTTTTAAAAGTGTGGACTTTACAGCTTTTAAAATTATATACATAATTTCGACCCACGCTACTGTAAAAGTGATGAAAAGGATCATTTTGCGCTCATTAGTGTTTGTGAGCTGTGTTCGACCCAAATAATTTCCCCTTAGCTTGTAGCTGTCACAGGAGTTTTCTTTTTCACTTCAGTCCCCCCGATTTCTACCGCGGCAGCAAAGTCCAGCCAATTTTTTAAACACACGATCATATGGCTCCAATGATCGTGTCCATTTTGGTAGCCATTTCCAATCTTGGAGAGCCTCTGGCAAAACTTCTGGGGCTTTCCTCTGAAGGATGTTGACAATAATGATGAAAAGCAAGAGGAGAACAATTGGGACCGCAACACCAACCAGGATTTGCCAACCAGCCAATGACAAGCCAAATATAGCTGCAGGAAGGAGGAAGAATCCAAAAATCAGATAAGCCAAGGCAAACCAGCGGTACTCAGCAGTTTTGTTGCCCAGGAATTTTGCCGTGTTGATAGGCAATTTGCGAACGTAAGGGACTGGATACCACAATATGATACCAGAAATATTGAAGAACAGATGGCAGAAGGCAATCTGGAGAGCTTTGTCCAAGTTTGAGGTACTTGCCAGGGCTGCCAGAATGCCTGTTGCAGTTGTTCCGATGTTTGAACCCAAAGTGAGTGGAAACGCGCGCTCAAGAGACACCACTCCGACACCGATAAGAGGCGTAAGGGCAGAGGTGAAGATGGAACTGGACTGAACCAACATTGTTAACCCAGCACCCACCAAGATGGCAAAGTAACCAGTGAGATATTTGAACAGCCCTGGGAAGTCTGCGTTGACGGTCTTCTTGATAATCTTGGCCATCTGACCGCGAAGCATGGAATGAAGGATTTTGACGATCAGTATAAGGCAGACACAAAGAAGAGCGATAGCTATAACCAAGATTATGACACCGACTTCTGTGTCACTCAGTGGAGTGTCTGCAAAAAGGAACTTGCAGGAAGCTTCTGTTTCAGACGACACATTCTTAAGTTCAGTAACATTCCCCACAGTCACATTCATCTCCTTAATTTCAAGTTTCGGCTTGCAACTTTTGATTAGAGACTTTGATTCAGCAGATTGGTCTCCAAGAGCAATATTCGTTATGACTTTTTTATCCAACTGAATAATAAGCTTGGTAAATGGTTCCGTTATTGTTTTCAACAACTTTTGGTTGACACCTTCATCTGTTTTGAGACTGAGAGAGTCAATGATCTTCCCAGTTAGTCGGCGCAAGTAGCCGGAAGCTATTTCCAGAGGCAAAAACACAAGAACAGACAACCAGTTGAATATATCGTGTACGACGGCTCCAGCAAAGGCACGACGGAATTCATTTCGCTCGGCAGCTTCAGCCAAGGAGACAATGGTGTTGGTGACTGATGTTCCAATGTTCGCTCCCATTACGATTGGAATGGCAGGCTTAACATCTACAACTGAAAGGTAAAGTTCTCTGTTAATCTCTCACTATTCATAAATACCTGAAATACGTTTGAAAACATAGGTAGCCCTAGCTTAATGGTGTCAATTATATTTGCCCAAGAAGGGTCTGTATGGGGATTCTAGTGATTGCTATTCAGGAGTAAAAAAAGTAATTAGAATACCAGGGACTAACAAAGTGGTTCCTTTACTTCATTCTTATGCGACCTATTATTCCCTTACAACTGTTATAAAAGGTTTTCTATAAATCAGTTGCGTTCAAAACAACTTGTGCGAAAATAAGGTCTATTGAATTAGATGTTCACTAAACAAGCCGGAAGCGATAAGCAGTCGAGGAAACTGAACCGCGTGCAGTGGTGGAAACACCATTTAAGGTTGCTCTCATGAGACAGGGTTGATGTTGTAACGGTGGTGAATTTCACTTTTTGAGACTGTTTTGGTCGTTTGAGAGCTAATGGTTGAGTGTTTACCTGTTACATGGGCAAACCGGTCGGTTCGTGGTTTGGACAATTGCTAAGTAAAAATCAGGGCTTGTCACTTCATCCTCGAGATATGACATTTTAATTAGTTACATTTAAGGACTGTTTTTTTCTTTCGTGATTGTAGCATTGTTTTCATCGCATATCCGTTTTTTGGCTAAGCGTACAAAGCTTTATTCAGTTTTATTTCCTTTACGTCAGAAGACATGCATTAGATATACTCTTTTCCTAAGCAAGTTTATTCAGTTGTAAGAAGTCCATCACAGTGTAAGGAGCTTTTGGAGAACTTTCGGAGTTATTTCAGCTGTAGGAGATTTGGAGTTCTTTTAACCCCCGGAGTCAAGATCAGACGTAAGTCACGCTTGTAAATTTAGTAGTTTGTTTTTCCTTCTTTTTTCGTGCACTGAGCATTATCGTAGTTTTCGTTTCTTCTGACGTAAAAATCGCACGTTTCTTTCTAGTTTTCACCGCAAGTGCTGTAAATAGTCCAACTAGCCTGATTTTAATAAACGCCATTAAATCTTGCTGACCGCCTAGTGCTTCACTGTGGTTGACCTGGCGAACTCCAGTGCCTAACGCCACGGGTCTACGACACTGGGAACGCGACAGGGCTGATAAATTTTGTTCCAGAATCGTGCTTACCATTTAGATGGGCTGTTATCGAAAAACGGCCGCGAAAGCCCGAGACTGGTATCAAAGGTGGGCTTTAATAAATGGAACGCAAATTTCTGCTAGGAACATTCCGTGTGGAAAAACAGGACTACCTTTCCGGATGTTCCAGTTTGCTCCCAGAAAGTTTGCACTGCAACGACCCGAAAAGCCGTGTTCCATTTACTTTTCAACCGGATATGAGGATTCGCAGGAAACTGGATCAAAATTCGTCCTCCAAAACAGTCCCACAGTGCAATTCGACACAACACAACAAAGAGGAGAAGTGTGACGTCACGTTACCATAGTAGCAAAATTTTTGGATCACAACAGTAGGAAGCTTAAGCAACGACGACGGCGACGGCGACGGCAACGGCAACGAGAACGGCAAAAAACAATGGGTCGGTTATTTAAACGAAGTGTAACTTAAGCCGCGGTTTAGCAAATCTTTGGACCTCCAGATCTCATCCCGAAATGGTTATTTTAAGAATATAGATGCCATTTCTAGTCTACGCGTTATGCCTAGTTATGCATCTTTTCACGATAAATAGTTTTAGGATAAAAGTATTAGGAAATCAGAAAATATGTGAGAACGAGGTTTTGTTAAACACTGGCTAAACTCTGTTTAAATAACTGGCTTAATAGGTTTAGATTAGCAAAACAACAACTTTTCACGTGCATCACGTTTTTTTTTTCTTTTTACATTTCTTAGCTGTCGTTGCACGACTGTTACATGAAACTTACTAGTTTCACGCCTCCGCTTTATAAAGTAGGTGAACAAAACACCAAAATTTTCTTGTTCTTTTTCTAAACTTAGATACCGTCCTTTCGAATTCAACCGCTGAAAATTTCGCCAACATTTGACAAATTAAATGAAAATGAATACAACAACGAGCTTCATTTGCATGACCATACAAATACTTAAAGTTAAGTTACTTTGATAATAATTTGTCACGAAAATCAAAACAAGCTGAAATATATTTTATGAATTGTATATTGATAAAGTAATTAGAAGAGTTCATCAGTTCATTGATCAAACCGTTTATCGGTAACTGGGTAATATTTGGAATCAGAGTCTTGACTTTATAGTAAAATTTATTCCTAATCATAGAGTATGTAGGACATTGAAAAAGAAAGTGAACGTAGTTCGTCTTCTATCACATTGCATCCACAAAAAGGGCAATGCCTATTATCCTTCGTAGTTTGATTGTGTCTGCCTATTTCTATCATTAGTTTGTGATTGCTTATTCGTAGTTTTACTAAAACAATTCTCCCACCTCTTCCTCTTGTCAAGTCTGAGTAACTAGAGGAGGTATGATCGGTTTTAAAAGATCTATAAAATTCAAGTTTTTGAGAATGTTGAAGGGTGTTTTGCCAATATGAGATATATTCCTGTTTCATTGAACTTACATAGCTTTTTACCATGGCGATATCTAATAAATCACGGTTAAAGTTTTTTTTTGCTGTTACAGTGTAAGTCGAATGACATTAAAAAAGCTTGTTTGACGGGAGATTCCTTATCTTTAGACTGTATATACAAAATGTATTTGAGAATTTTTTGATTGATTGTGATATTTAAAGAAAAACGACCAAGCTCTGCTCTACAAACTATATTAGAAGCTAGTATCGTTTACAAAATTGAAGGTGTGCCTTCTCTATTTGTGAGCCGTCCCAGGTCTTAAAATCTGGTTTGGCATACGTAAAATGAATAAGATCGATGAAGTTTGAAACAGTGTGAATTCACGTTTTCGGTTTGTTGTCATCCAGAAATTTTGCTACCATGGCAGCGTGACCAAACAATCAGTTATGTCGCAACCGACATAACATTCGACACAACAAGCGGAACTTCAGTAAAATGGCTAATTCATGAGGGAGCGAGCGCTTCAGGCACGCTGTATGTTTTCACTGTATTTTATTATGGAATTGGGAGGACGATTAGGAAAGAGGAAAGTGAGGTCCAGGGACTAGGCATATGGCGAAAGAATTTGGGATATTCTGAAAATACTTTCACCAGTTGTCATTCTCACGTGTGATAACGATCTGTTTATTGTAAAAAGTTGATGAGTGTGTGAGTGTGCAACCATCCGCGACAATTGTCGCTTGATAGAACATAACAATTGGATAGAAGAGACAAACGTAGATTTTGAACACTGACGCACGTGATCAGAGAGTGATTAGAGGTGGTATGATGTTGTGGTTCAAAGTGTAGTTTCTGTTCAACAACAAGTGCAAGGGTAAAGCCCGCATAATAGTATCAGTTTGTTTGCATTTTAGGGGTAAGAATCACAACGTCACGCCGCGTGTTACAAACATATTAAAAGCTACATTTAAAGGGACTGGTTCACCTTCATGCGCATGAGTGAGTTCTGACAGTAGCTGATTGTTTTTCAACCAATCGGAAGAGAGTTAGATGCACGCAAGTAAATTTAAAAAATTCAAATTAATTGTTCCGGGCATTTGGTTTGATTTTATTTATCCCCATAATTCAAGTTTATTCTTTGCTACTCCTCAGATATATGTTGCAGCCGATAAGAATAAGATATACAGCCCTGTCCTGCTTTGAAACAAACATTTACCAACGTGTATTTTTACGAGGTCGTACCCACGCTAACAAAACAGTCACCGATCGGCAAACAAAATTTGTCAACAAACATCTTATTACTGTACTCTCAGTTCGCCTTATATAAACCCAGAAATACCTACAAATAGCGCCTGACCGGTGACAAAAACACACAATGTATGAGTATAAAGATTATCCTTAACTGAGCATAAATTTCAATTACTTATCAGCAAATGAACAAATTCATTCGCGTTGCATCGGGTCAGTGTTCCGCAAAACAAATGTTATCGAGTAGCACACATAAAGAAACTAGATTATAAACAGAATATTCAGGCAATAATTTATTTTAAAAACATCAATTCTTAAACATATACGATCGTAAAGCAAAGATACAAGGAACATTTCAAGTGTACCAGATCGGTGAAGATCGTGCGGCCTGTTGCGGTATAACTACAGGTCGGATTCAAAAATCAAATCAAAGTTGAACGAACTCATGCCTTTAACCACTTTCCAAATGTCGTGTATTCTTTTCGTAAGCCACACACTACTCCTAGAACCATACCAGATCGATAGGCTAAGCTTCTCTATCTCCAAAGACTCTTGAGAACGTCCTGTTGCCGGACGGCTACGATGCTCTTCTGAACCTCCATGATCAAAACATTAATTTTTGCGTCTTCTTAAAACGTAACCAGTCAAACGACACAACCACACGTTAATCACCACTACCGAAGTATAACTAGACCAGCCAAAGCGACGGATGTCCGAATAAAACCAAGGATTTCCAATGATTGTACCGGTAATGGCGATTTCGAATTTAGTGTTGACCCGACAAATATATTCTGAAGAGACAAACCGCGCGCATGCGCATTATCGTGAACCAGTCCCTTAAAGGATTTCTGAAGTGAAAAACATAACTGTCAGGGGCGTAGCCAGCTTTTCGTCTAGTTGTAAGCCTGGCTGACTTTGATATCCACATATCCTGAAAATTGGACGCATTGACGCATTGACGTCACCAACATTTTGAGCTTTTTAGCTTTTTAGCTCACCCCAAAAACGCGTAATTTATTACAATCGCCGGGTAGAGTGATCAAACCAAAAATTTGTAGGCCCGGGTCTACAGGTCTATGGACTGGCTACCCCCTGGCTGTACGCTTATTAACCTGCGCTTAATGTGTCCACGAAACCATAACACGCTCTCTCCACACTTGATACATTTTCAAATCATGCTTTTTCTCGTACTGTTAAACAAATCAATTGTTAAATTGGCCCAATCAGGGAAATCCAGTTTAATTCGTTTTTACGATTGTTAATGGATCTAATTACTGGATCGACAGACAACGGGCTGATTCACTGTTTGTTTAAATGGCAACCAACTTAGAACTGTGATATTTCACAATAGAAAGGATCAGAAACTTGCTTCAAATCAATACATTCATTGGTAACTAAAACGCAAGGGGCGGAACTTCATTGCGACCAGTGATATGGCTTGGTTAGATTTTGGAATAGCTCTCTATGCTCCTCGTTCTATAAGCCATAAACCAAAACAAGCGCGCTTCTTTATAATATTCCTCGTTCTAAAACAGGTGGCTAAATAACCGGGGCGAAATGAGCGCTTATCCATCTACACCAGGCACTCTCGAGGGAAAACCAAAACATCATCATTTGCCAATCAATCTCTGCCTTATGTTTGAAATAGCACAAATGCAGAAGTAAAAATGATAAACAGAATAAAAAATACCCCAGAAAACTCCAAAAACAAAATGTGCGACAAAGGGAATCTAACTTAGTATCTATTTCTGAAACTTGGTTTTGTGACAAAACTGATTAATGAAATGGTTGGAAGAAAAACAAACAAGGAAAAGACTTTTCAATTGACTTCTGTAGCTTTTGCACAGTTCAAGCCGGACAAACCTCAGCGTTGTTGGTTATTGGCTACCAGGCTAATATCAACTCAAAATAAGTGTGTTGTATTGCTTTTTCGATGAGTGACAAAATTTTGGGGTTTTTTTCCTCTATGACGAAAACATGGTCCAAAAATCAATAAAACCCTCTGTCTTACACAGCATTGATTTTAAAAATGCTGAAATTCTTTTTAGATATGTGACCACTGGAAGCTATTGGACGCGCTAAAACGTTATATAAATTACAGTAAAGTCTGGTAAATATCTTCCAAAACCATGCAACATTGTCGTTATAAAATACAAAACTTACTGCCAGCAGCTACCATTGAGACCACGATGGACGTTGTAGTGGACGAGCTTTGAACAAGAACAGTTGCCAAGATGCCAATCATAAGGCCAGCCACAGGGTTGCTGAGGATTTCATTCGAAGCGAAGGCTTCGCCAGCGGCTTTTCCTCCCAACAAGCGAAAGGCACTGCTTAGGAAATCCAATGAACAGATGAACAAGTACAGAAGACCAAGGAGTAGGACAATCTTGGTAAACGCCAAAGCGACGCGAAGAAACTTTCCTGTGCCGTCGAGCTCTGTCGGTCAGCAAACAGAAAGATTCGATCACACAATCATAAGTCCAACGGCGGATCCAAAAATAATTTTGGAGACCCCGCCAAACCCCCCCCACCCCCCAACCCCCCTTATCTCAAGGTCTGGATCCGGCACCGAAGTCGCAATTGTTGGTAAAGCATTTTTGTTAGCAACAGGTTTCAAGGCATTTGTAAACCCTGTTGTGATTTGATGTGAAGTTATAATTTAACATTGTTACATCGGCATTGACAAGAAAACATTATTCTCGTTTGCATTATGTATCAGTTGTTGTTCTCTGTATGTAACATGTTTTGCTAGTTGAAACGAGTTTCTTGCTAAATGATAAGAAAGTAAGCGCCAAAAAGAGGGAAAATAATGCCAACAACAACAATTTATTCAGGTATTTCTATTTATGTACATGGTATTTACGTTTTTCTACTATTTTTTCTTTTTTTCTTGCCTTTTCTCTTTTTTTCTTTGTTTTCAGAAATATATCGCGTGACTCCATTTGAATGAGCCGTAACTGAGCTGCTTTAAAATACTTTCCCTTTCCTAATATTGATACTACAACTGAAATTACGATGATGATGCTAAATCTTAACTTCCTGTCATTTGATCACTGAGCACGTAAGATGATGCGTCCTCCTTTTTGACCGATGGACGACAGTATCAAAGTCATCGCATTAAATTTATGATATCACGTTCTAGTTTCAGCATTTCCATTTTCAATGAAGTCCCGTTATTACTGTGGCGTTTAAGTTTGCAAGTTCTGAAGAATTACTTCGCACGAATTTCTAGAATCCTGTTACTGTGCTTTCGAAATTGTTGACACAAATTTCCTGCGATTAAAAGCCTGGGGGATTTTGAAGACGAAAATTTCCCCGCTTTTATAAGCCCCACTCAAGAGGCCTTTGAAACAGATGATTATATTTATTTATTTATTAACTCATTATTAATATTTAAACCATTTAATACCCGCGGGGGTCATTTTCGGAATTTTGTGGTATGACGAAGTCAGACGAAGAATACAACCAGACTGAACGCAACGAAACTTACCAGACCATTTTGGTCCAAGATCCTGAAGTTCGGGCAGAGCCCAAGGATCAAAATCTTCCTCATTCTGATTTCCTTTCCATCCTGCGTTTTCTCCGGGATCTGCTAGATACCCTTTGTTTTCGTTCTGCGAAAAGTCATTTTTGGAAGTCAAAAATGTTTGCAACAAGTCAAAGTCTTTGAAAAATGATCAAAGAGAATATGGAACCTACTGCATGGTAATGTCCGTTGCGATTTGCCATTTCCACGTCTCCATGTTTGGATGAAACTGTCGTGAAGTCCGCCATGATGCAAATGATGAGATTTGGAAGATTCTTCTAATATAAAGAATAAGGAACAAAGGAATGAGATGACAGGGCAAATACTTAGAAGCCGCCTCTATTGTTCAGCGTCATCAGGATGTGGTTTTTAAGAGTGACGTTTGCGTAACGCTTGCGTAACGTTTGCGTAACGCTTATTCTTTGTCAATTTAGCATTTCCTTACAACGGATGGCTAGCTAAACGCTGTGTTATTAAAAAAAATGCTTTATATGTTTAAAACAGGAGGAATGCAGCCATGGAGAGATAGTTATTTAACAGGTTTCAGTGAGCAGGGGCCTTGAGGATTGAAGGCACAGTGCAAAACTCCTACAAAACTACATAGACGTGAACCGAATACATATTCACGAATGTTTCTTGTAATTTAATTTTAACATTTCTAACACTTATGATCACCGGCACTGCGAAGTTCGCCGAGATTTCTATGAGTTGAGTTGACTCTTTGAAAACGAGAACGAGTTGTCTAGTTGTTTTAGTTGAAACCAATTGGTTAATCACCTTCAATTCTAACCTATAAGTTTTGACGAAAATATATAAAAGTAAGTCTTTGTTTACACGGCTTGAATTCACGTAACGGTTGTTGTTTGTCACCAAAAAGAACTTCTTGTAATTAGTTTAAGTTCTTGTAATTCTTGTTTATATTTCTTGTAATTTAATGTTAATTCCGTATTTTCTGCGCGCATTTTTTCCTCATGGAATAGCATCTTGAATTTATTTACCCAATTCCACAATAAACGATTTGTTAAAGAGTCTAAAAAGTTGCTTTGTTTGTTTTTGTTCAAAGAGCCGGCCGGCTACTCACTATCTCACACTTCAGATAATAAGCACAATAGCCAATCAGACTGCATATTATTTCGTGATGATATGCAAAGTTGCTTTCTGCTTGTTCTGCAAAACAAATCAAAGTTATTCATGACGTTGATTGAATGAGGTAAGGCTTGTGTCGAGTGTTAGGTACTTCCAGCCAAGTTAAGTGTATTTAAGAAATGGTAAACGTGCAGCGTGCAACCATGGAGTTATGGATGCACGCGGGAGGTTGCTAAGCACGAAAGAAGCGTAAGAGTCGCACGAGGCGATAGCCGAGTGCGACTCTAGCTTCTTGAGTGCTTAGCAAACCTCCCAAGTGCATCCATAACTCCATGGTTGCACAGCTGCAACGTTTACCATTTCTTTTATAACATAATCAAAAGAGAAAAACAGCATTTTCCATTTGCCTTCGGTTGAGTCCGGTCGGTACGAGTTCAAGTATGCTGCCACCTGCCCGTGCGTAAACAAATCTTGTTCTATGTTTTTCAAAAACTTGCCTTTGAGTTTTTCTTTCGCTGAATCAACCGATCTCTGTCTTCAGGTAAATTGCAAAACGTTTTTCGTTGTTATTCTGAATGGCATCTGTCTACTTGCTCTTAATATTAGGGTGAAAACTTTGAGGGAAAACTATAGCTGCAACTATAAACACCAACTAAAAAGACTAAAAAACAAGCTAAAACTAAATAAATGAAATAATTATCAAGCTTATTTTATGTGACAATTTTAAATATACGTAAAGTAGAAATGAGAAAATTTGAAGGTAATTCCTTTAGAATAACAGGTAACACTAATTTTAAAAAGAAATTAACTTGCTTTGTATCGAAATCTGCCTGGGGAAATCCAGCTATGAAAGTGAAAGTTAAAACTGAAATTCGCCGACACACAGCCGGCGCTGAAGCTGTTGTTTTTCGATCGATCTCTGAACGACTGTTATGAATGAACACTGAGGAACAAAATAATACACACAGAAGTCATTTTTTTAAAAATTTATTTGAAACCCAAATGTTTCTGTACTCAAATGAAATTCGCTTATTCCAGCGTAATGTGCCCGTTTAAACTCAACTAAAACTTTTAATAGATGCGATGAAAACTTCACAACAAAGCTGTCTCGAATTTGAGCGTGTTTCCTGAAATATTTGCTTGGATTTAGCATCAGCTTGACCAAAAAGTCAATAAAACAATGCTAATTGATGAATTTACATTTCAAAGAGACTTTCTCTTCTATAAAAAACATACAACATGTACCTTCAATCTTCGCTGGCTCGATTTTCCTTTGAACAGCCGAGGAAAACAGTGATTAATTCATCCAGGGCAAATTTGTCGCTTGATCTTTTGTCTTTTTTCCTTCAAAACGACAGCTTAGTGTTTTCTTCAACTTCCACTTTTCATCTGTGCATTTTATCGGTGTATTTTACGGTTATTTTTGTTGAATTTGCCTGAATTTTACCGCGCTAGCTCAGTTTCTTGGCGTGCACCCACGGGCAAATGGTAGTGACTAACTGACCAATCAGAGCGCGCGATTTACTTTTGTTATGTTATAAATGAGCTTATACGACAATTGGGTGAAATTTTCTTCATGCACTTAACTACAATAACGTTGTCTAAAATTGAGCAGCAGATAAAAACTATTGCTATAAATAACTGAACCGAGTCATGTTTTCTAAGAGCTTCTTTAGTATAAGAGTCAGTCTTGACTCTGACTAGATCGCTCGCACGTGATGTTACGGTAAAACAGGCAACAAAAAACATGCACCTTGTCCTGCAACATTGCTGTAAAACAAGTTGACTGATAGCGCTGTTGAGGACCCGGATGCTGAGGAGCGTTTTACAACCCATATCCGACCTGTCTTGCAACAAATCAGCGGGTTGTTTCAAAACCGGTTTGAACGAGGGTGGTAAAACGACATCGCTTTTCAACTCGTTTCACAGCAGTGTTGCAAACAAGCCAGCTGTACGTTTTTGTTGCCCGTTTTACAAAGCTTAACTGAATAAATAATTGAATCGGTAGGCTAGTTAAGGTGTAAAGGCTGCAAAACCGTGGACTATCAGGATTGGTAAACTGACTAACGGGTGCGTTCGATAAGGAAATCTGGATTTAGATTTTAAAAGCCGGATTTCGGATTTGCAATCGATCGCGAAATCTGAAACGGATTTAAACGCTGAGATATCTGTTCTTAGATTCAATTTTTTTTGGGGGGGCGAAAATCCGACAAAGGAATTGATAAACAGTTCTTAACAAACAGTCGTCTTGCACACGCACGCATAATTAGCAAAAAGAAGACCTCTGTTCACGAGAATGGTTTTGCAAATCCTTTTTTGGATTTCCCAATCGAACGGTAAAAAGGAGATCCATGAAATCCGGATTTGGATTTCTTAATTGAAATCTTCCATGAGAACGGATTTCTCGGAGATGAAATCCGTTTTCAGCGGTTTTCGGATTTCGCGTTCCACTTCAAAATCCGAAATCCGGATTTCCCAATCGAACGCAACCTATTGGTTAGCACTCATCTTCATACTCCAAACTGACATTTCCCCCTCCTCGCCGTTCTCGGATCTTAAGGCTCTTTCGAGGATCAGTTTACAAAATAGCAGAAATATGTTGAGAGGATAACAAAGGATGCTTCATTACATATATGTTGCAATAAGTTACTTTTGTTTCTATATATGTCCAGCTAGCGATATTTTGAAAACAAACCTAACGAAATTTGCCGTCATTTGGAGGGAAAAGGCGTCAATAGGCATGTTTCTTTGGATAAGGTCCAAACTCAAACTAACGAAGGAAATGAGAAAAAAAAAGCAATGGTCGCACTAGCAGTTTTTATCATGGC